CGGTTAAAACTATTTTCGGTGACAGGTAGGTTTTTGGAAGAGGTTAAAAAATCATGCATTGACCGTTGCACTATACCGGTAATTTTGAAGAGGGTAAAATCAGGCATGACCGGTTGCACTATACAGGTAATTTTGGAAGGGTTAAAATCATGCATTTTTCGGTGACCGGTTCACCATATTTATTTGGAAGACCCTATCATGGCATAGGGGCATAGGGGCACCAAAGAAACGATTCTAGATTGCCTGAAAAAAATCCTTTGCTGCTTGTCACATCAACCATTGCCAATGGTTAACCCTAGCTGAGAACCGTGATGCGTTGTGTCTCACCACCATGTTTTCTCAATCTTTGAAAACATCTGCCGCCTTTCGGGACAAGAGCCAGAGGAGGAAGTACTGCGACGCTATGCCATCGAGCCCAGGCTGGACTTTCAGCTACGACTGCTGCGACGGTGTATGCCTAAACCGCACTGGACTTATCAGTCACAACGTACATGCAAGCGACGTATACAGACTCCCACTTGCCAATAATTACTTGCACCATACAATATTTAAGTAATTTTTTTATGTAGGGGTTAAAATTCATGGAGAAATGTTCAAGGGTCGCACTATACATGAAGACGACTTGCACACGAGTGCATATGGTAATCAAAATTGTACAGATATTTCTCAAACGAATATCATAAAATTACAATTTGTTCACTATTAACAATTACAATATTTATCTATATATTAATACGCTCGTCACTGTGTATGGTGTGTGTCCGGCTTGGTATTACAGAAAGTGAGAGGGACAGAGATAGGGACATAGAGAGAGGAAAAGAGAGCACGACACAGAGAGGGTTGGAGGGGATTTATTTTAGATGAAGGTAATGTTTTTAGTAAGTATTTAAACTATGTTTCGTCACCTAACAATCTGTTGGGTACATTTTCAGCGTTTTTAAGAACTATCTTGGAATGTTTATTGGTTGTAAAGTATAAAGTGCAGAATTAAAAAATTCATTAGTAAATCTGTATAATTTACACGGATCTTAAATTTTCTTGTTTTTTATAATCATTTCACCCCAAGAAACGCAATAAAGCCGCTAGAATGCAAGAGGTTACTGAGTGTTAGGGAATACGAGAAAATCTATTAAGAGAGGATAATAAAAGAATAAGAAATAGTTTGTTTTTTTTCATTCTTTTTAACCTGCATTTGTTTTGTAATCAAATGCCCGGTCATAACCAATGACTCAGACAAGCGTAGGGTGTGATTTAATTAAATAAAGGACAGCAATTAGTAAAAACCTTAAATGGACAAATCTCTTTGCAAGATATAGATGTACTTGTTAGAAATATTTTTTGAATTTCGTGGAGAGATGTTGATCGAGGGATTTTATTGTTTTGTTCTTGAGTTCCTTTCTTTTCAGACCCAAATCTCCAATCACAAGAGGAACATTTTTTTTTTTAGATTTTAAGTGTCATATTTTTCTATTTCCATCTCCAGGTCTATGTATAAATTCTTCTTTGAATTTTGTCAAGAATCCTTAGCAGAAGTACGGTCGAACTGGTAAGACTTACAAATTTGCACAATATATTGCGACGAGAAAAATTGTCTAGAAAGATACAGTGAACCAACTTTCCTAGAGGCAGACTTAGCAGTTGACATGATATAATCGTTAGAATTCATGTCAGTGGAAAACCTTAGACCGAGAAGGTTCAATTTTTAGAGATTAACATTAGCTATGTTGATAGAAGAAAAAAAAGGTTCTCTGGGACGATTAAAATAGAGCATTAATTTAATTAAATTAAAATTAACCAACCACTTCTTGCCTCAGTTAGCAACAAACTGGAAGTCATTTTAAAGATAGGATGTCAATTTGGATTTATCGAACCTATCGGAGACTTATCACCATGTCAAGTACATAGTTGACTGATCCTCATTCCCTTCTTATTTTATTGGTAAGGAAGAAATTGTACTCAGATAACCTCTTCCTCGGAACTGTTAGGTTGTGGAACGGACACCCGAAATAATGTATCCGAAAGGATAAGTTTGAATAAGGCTTGTTTTGAAACTAGATTTAGAAATCGTTAAACCATTGATTTTTGTGAACTGTTTTATTTCTTCATATGAAAAAGTCTACACAGCATCTAAAATAGCATTCCGAAATTCCATCTTAACTGATAGGTTGCCATCTATCAATGTAAACCTTATTAAATGTGTTTTTCTTTTCTATATACTATTGTTCACTCAATACAAAGCTCAAAAGTCACTCAAAGTAGTGGGTTAATGAATAAGGTTGTTGTAAGGGCATAAAAGGAAGGAGTAAGAGGTTCATATTATGAGAATATGAGGGGAAATGGTGGCGGACTCTAGAATTGAAGACATTAAGATGGTAGAGATCGGAGAAGAATTCTCACGGGAGACATTTCTGTAGAAGTTTCTGGGTGAAACTTCCTCTTTACCAATGGAATAGGAAGGAAATGGATATATGTGGACTCTTTATACGTGCAATGACGAGTCCTAGCTCTCAAAGTCTTAACTGCTTCAGCTAAGGAATGTAGTTCGCCTGAACAACTGTCATGAAAATAGCGATAGACCAGCTAGAGGCTAGCAATTTTTTCGACCGTGGGAAACGATTCCACTCCCTCATGGTTTTAATTCGTTACTACTCAGTTCGGATCGTCCAAGTTCTGACCAGTACGGTATAGTTAGTAATTATATCCACTATAATTATCAAATTGTCCTTTTTGTCTAGCCTATGCATTGTACAATGTGTTATGCCACTTAGCTAGAGACCTACGTCTTATACTTCTCGACACTTTCTCGCTGCTTCAACGCCTAAAAATTGCATAACTTCAAACAGATTTTTATTTCTAATTTCTCTCTTGATACAAAACAACTTGCCCTTATCAGACCTGCATCGGATTCAATTCAATGAACTTCTTCACAGTTCAATGATATTTGTCAATCATTTTTGAACTTTCCAATTTTGTTTTAACTTTTGCAACTCTATCAAATCGTAGTACTAGATTGGTAGCTAAGTTTCATCGTTTTACTATTGGAAGTGGAACCCTAAGTTGTGATAACTTCTTCCCTCACACTTCTCGTCTGTGGAACTCTGTTACAGGTTCTTGCTTTCCTGCAAATATATATATTTATATATATATATATATATATATATATATATATATATATATATATATATATATATATATATATATATATATATATATATATATAATATAATACTGTAACGCCAATAGTAAAGTTCAGTAAAGTTTTCTCAGATTCCTTCTCCCTATTGTTTTTCATTCTCCGTGTTAGTAACTTTATCGCCTTGCTTGGGGTGAAATAATTTTTAAAAATTAACTCCATTTTAGAGTTTGAAAATCACAATATATCTATTAATTTGACGCCACGAAATTCAAAGTATTTCATACAGATACCTGCAGTTTACATTTGCATAGAACGTACCATCGTTCATCTTTCCTGCACATATAGATGTTGCAACATTCAAAAAATAAAAATTTCTATTCCAACTGTTTCTATATCGATAAAATCTGAAGTGGTTAATGTGAGACCAGGTGTGTATGATTGTAGTTTATATCTACGTGTCATGTGTTAGTGGCAAGATATATTTCATGTGGAGTCGAATCACATTTGGTCCAGACGAACTAATTTGTCAGGCAATTTTTCAACCAATTATCTCTTAAATAATTCTTTATATAAACTCCGGCGAGCTCAACTTACCAAGCACTTGCCTTCACAAAAGTCGAAAATGAAAAGATACATATAATGAACAGACTTAGTAGATATCTTTGTTGTTCTATGGCGATATTTTGCATTGGTGCTAGATTTCAAATGCTGATTTTCATGTAGTAATGGCGCAATGCAATCTGCCATTTCATCCTATTTGTCGCTGCACCGGTCCTATATATATATAAGGTAGGATGTGTGTGTGTGTGTGTGTGTGTGTGTGTGTGTGTGTGTGTGTGTGTGTGTGTGTGTGTGTAACGAATGCATGCCCGCAATTTTCGACGGATTTACACCAAAATTTACATGCACATGATCTAAGTTAGCGGGAAGGCCAATATCGACCTTGCATTTCCCAACTCCCATCGATAGTGGAAATAATAGATTTTTTTCATGCTTCTACGGCAGTTTTCATGTAGTTTGCGGCCATTTTCTACTGGCCAGAGTGAGAGCCTATAGCTGGCTGCCACGAATAGGCAGGAAGATTCTATTGGACAACATCTGACTGACACGAATGTTAACTAGCATGCTAGCATGCAAAATAATCGATAGCTGCATTCGTCACAAGTGGTAAAAATTTAAATCTGCATGGCACTTTACTCCAATTGGCTCATTCGCTTGCTTAAACTCAACGTTGATTCTGATTCCGCAGAACTGGGTTGGGTGTGAAAAAGTATTTGTTGTTAACATTCTTTTTTCATTCGGTTTTTCCAATTACGAGTGCTTTTTTAAAGCTGATCGTTTTGTGTTCATTTTGTTTAGTTCTTTTTTCGTAACAGATTTAATGTTTAGTATAGAGCTTAGAAAAAATTCGCAGTGTGAGATAGGCAAGAAGTAAGGCATGTAGCAACATCAGCACGGCAAGGGCACTCCTTTAAAAGTGATAGCGATTGCTGTATGAGTCGTACGATTTTTGAATCAAGCACAGGCAACGCCGGGCCGTGCTATATATATATATATATATATATATATATATATATATATATATATATATATATATATATATTCTGTGAGGTGTGTGACTACTCACCCTGCAGGATTAAATAAAAGACCTGTCTAAAGGGCGGGAGAAGATTTTTGCTCAACGGCCATCTAGCACAATTATCCTGGGAGTCTTGGACTCCACAGTTTTTCCCTAGCCATTGGCTAAGAGAAAGACACTCTGTAAAACCTACGACCCAAGGACTTCACTGTCATCGTCTCAGCTTGCTAGACCATGACAGATCGAATCCCGAGTGGGGCTAGTTCAGCGCACACTGCACTTCACCTAAAAAAACTCCACTGCGCAGGCCTGAGAGAGACGTTCGCGTCTAGCAATCCTTTCCAGGCCCTGTAGCGATGGGAAAGGACCGAAAACAGCAGGTGGAAGATGTAACTGGAAGTCACAGTGCCACTCTGATTGACCAAGCAGACTTCTCTAGGAACAGCACCGCTTGCGCCGCATGGAGAGAGGCCTAGAAAAGGTATCCTAAACAAAGCACATCTCCTATATTTCCCAGTTGGCTAACCGCGGTCAACGGGCCTCTTCTCATGCGGTCGAACGTCAGTAAAGAAAAGGTCCACACCCACCTCTAAGAGTATCAAAACACCACATGTAGCATGCTGGAACATCAGGACCATGCTGGACACGCCCGACAGTGGTCGACCAGAAAGTCGCTCTGCTCTAATTGCAAATGAATTGTCAAGACTAAATGTTGACATCGCTGAAATGAAGTCTATTTTCAAGAGGAAGGTAGCCTACAAGAGAAAAAAATATGATCAGCTATAAATTTCTTCAAGGAAAAATATTCCCAGAAATAGATATTTGAAGAAAAATATATTAGCAGCAATAAAAATTTTGTCGGCATTAAATAACCCATTGCTATAAAACAAAACAAACAGATCTACGTAGCCTACTACGAGACGCCCCTGCAGTGATAAAGTTATAATCCTTGGCCATTTTAACGCCAGAGTAGGCCAAGATTTTGCGACCCCGAAGGGATTGTTTGGGAAACTTGGTGTTGGTAACTGTAACTAAAACGGGCGTTTTCTACTAGAATTCTGCACAGAGCATCAGCTCGTCCTCACAAACACCATCTTCCAACAGAAAAACCGATTGAAAAAAAACCTGGATGCATCCTCGGTCTAAACATTGGAACCTCATTGACTATGTCATAGTACGCCAGTGTGACCTCAAAGACATCATGCTCACAAAAGTGATGCCCACTGTAGAATGTCATACCGATCATCGTTTTGTTCCCTGCAAACTCAAGCTTCACTTTAAAATCAAGCCAAGAAAAAGAGGGTCCCTCTGTAAAAAAAAAAATCAAGGTTGGCAGTTTTAAATCAGGTGAATTGAAATCTAACTTCCAAGCAGCACTTGAGTCAAGGCTTGAATATACAAGCATCCCCAAAGATTCCTCTTCTGAAAAACAATTGGAAAAAACTCAACGCCCTTTTCAATCACCAACGGTGTAAAGTAGAGTTGCGTTCTGGCCCCCGACTCTCTCTCTCTCTCTCTCTCTCTCTCTCTCTCTATATATATATATATATATATATATATATATATATATATATATATATAATTATTTATTTAAAATATGATTCAACACGCTACATAAGAGTTCTCATATGTTCTCTTATGTAGCGTGTTGAATCATATTTTAAATAAATTTATTATGCTCTCTACTTTTTATCGAGCACTATTTTTAAAAAATAATAACATAAATACTAAAGAACTTTTGGATTATTTACCTAACGAGTTCTTTCCTATTTTCTATATATTTTCACACACACACACACACACACACACACATATATATACATATATATATATATATATATATATATATATATATATAGGTCATCATCATAAGTTCTGTCCGAATTTTGAATAAAGAAAACAAGTGACCAAATGTTACATTACAGATTCAATCAACAATGTATTTTCCCTGATTATCTATGACTTTCTTCCATCTATTAAGAAGCTTACTAATTCCATTACTGTAAAATTCTTTTGCCTTTGATTCGAAGAATTCACAAATGTCAGTTTTAACCTCTTCCTGTGTTACAAAAGCTGTTTCTTCCAAATGATTCTGTAAGCTACGAAACAAATGGTAGTCCGAAGGAGCAAGATCGGGAGAATAAGGTGGATGAGGAATTTTCTCCCAACCAAGTTTTTCGATCTTTTGTGACGTGATTCTTGCTGTGTGGGGTCGCTCATTGTCCTGATGAAATATCACCTCTTTTCAATTCACTAGAGCAGGTCTTTTTTCCTCAAAGCTTGATTCAAACACTCTAATTGCTGTCAGTATATTTGAGCATTAATTGTTGCATTAGGTGGTAAGAATTCAAAGTGGATTATTCCTTGGCGATCCCACCAGATTGAAAGAAGAACCTTTTGCCTATGAATTTCCCTTCTCGGCTGTGGCTGGGGTCCTTCCCCTTTACCAAGCCACTGTCTACGACACTTAACATTTTGACAAAAGATCCATTTTTCGTCGCCAGTCACAAATCTATTCAAAAAAGGTGAAAGTTGGCGGGAATGGAGAGAAGAGCAGATGTCAACTCAGGATTTGAGATTTTCAGACAATTCATGAGGCACCCATTTTCCAAGTTTAGGAATTTTTCCAAGTTGTTGAAGATGATGAACAGTTGTATGGTTTGAACTGAGAACCACTGCCAATTCCTCAACTGATAAAGCAGGATTTTCTTCAAAGGCTGCTTCGAAAAGCTTTTCATCAAACTCAACTGGACGTCCGGTTCGATCTTCATCTTCAAGTGTGAAATCTCCACCTCTGAATTTTGCAAACCATCTTCTGCAAGTTCTTTCATTCACACATGCCTCTCCATAAACTGAATGAATGTTTCTAGCCGCTTCGGCTGCTGAATTTCCTTTCTTGAACTCATAAAGCATTATGTGCCTCAAATGATTCTAGGGTACTTCCATGTTAGCAGGGTCTTAACCAAACAAAATTTAATTTTATTGTTCTCTGAAATAAAATTTGATCAGTTTAAATGCATCTAAACATAAAAATAATGTTCAGCTCCTTTAATTATAAAATACGCTTTAAATTTCGTTCATTTTAACAAAAAGTTAAAATTCGGACAGAACTTATATGATCTGATATATATATATATATATATATATATATATATATATATATATATATATATATATATAAGACAAAGGAACACTTTTTTTACTAATGTATTTCATCCCCTGACTCTTTATTATGGAAAATGCCATTCGCAAATTTCCTCAGGGAATGAAACACGTTGGTAAAGAAAACTTTTCCTCTAATCTTTGTTCATACTTTTTATCCTTTTATTTTATTTATATCTCAATATTTACATATACACTCACACACACACATACACACTCTTTCTCTCTCTCTCTCTCTCTCTCTCTCTCTCTCTCTCTCTCTCACTCGCACTAACACACACGCACACACACAAATACTCATTCCACTCAGCATTTAAAACTAACCTTCAAAAAGCAATGAAATGAAAAGCGTCGATATGATTGATTTTAAAATCTGATGACACTGACTTTGAGAATTACGATTTTCGCATTTTGATACGAAAAGTAAATTTCAAACAATAACTTCTAACCTAGGTACCTTTATGAGATCGCTAAAAAAAAGAGCATAGCATGATGTAAAAGACGCCAAACTTGACGAAAACCAAATTTTATCGTCTAAAGGTTCATGTTGTTATTAAGAGGAAAGATCAAATTATTTGCGGGTATTGTTTTTTTTTACATTTTTAATCGTTCCTAGCACTTCCGAAATTTTCGTTAAAAATCTCGTTTTTTTTTTGTTTTGTTTTTTGAGTCCTCAAAATTGGCAGATAATCAATCATGGCAACCATTTTTTCCATTTTATAAAAAAAATGAAAATCTGTTTGAAAATCAATTATCATTTTTTCAAAACTTATTTTAAGAAAATAAGAAATTATAATGTTTATTTAAAATATTTTGAACTAAGTTTAACTTAGCTTCTGCGCCGAAAAGATGTAGTTTGAAAATAAAACAAAGCAGGTCATAACCTTTCCCGTCACTTGACAGGTGACGAAAGACATTTTCATGATGTTTTGATAGCTTACGTGAGGATAATTAATTCTACGGAAGGAGAGAAGTAAAGTTATTTACATTTAAGTGAAGAAATTATTTACCTCGTTATTTTTAAGGAAAACTTTCAGCGCTCTATTTTTTTTTTTTTTTTTTGTACTTAGCTTTCACCTCTTCGTTTACGATGCTTTATGGAAAATATATTATAAAGAAATTAAAATAAGATTATTAAGAGTGAGATTAAATTTCATAAGAAAAGTATCTAATTAATTTATAGGTACCTTTTTTACGAAATTTTATCAGAAGTGTACATAAAATACTATAATTTTATGTACATCTATTACATTTTACTGTGTTATTTGTATTTCCATTCATTTTGTTATTAATTTTGATATTTCATTTATGGAAAAATGTCATAACTGAGATTAATATAAAAATAAGATCATATAAATTTCATAAGATGATACTGATACTTGTAGGTACCCTTCTCAGTTGAAATTGAAAAATCAAATTAACTTCTCCACACGTGTTTCGCAAAAGTAAAGGCCTTAACAGCGGAGATCAATGCTTAACTCAAATAACGCAATTAAATTGTATTCTGGTTGGTCTTCCGTACTTTATAATTACAGCCCGATTATGAACAAAAAATTACATTTCTTAATTACAGCGGATCTTCTGATTAGTCAAAACGATACAATTTACAACGCGCTAAAAAAGATCTATCTCATAAGAACACTTACAAAAGCGGATGCGGCTTTTAACTAATTTTATGATATTTTAACAACATAAATGTAAAAATCTATTATAATTAAAGAAATAACAAATAATTGTATTAAAAATTCATTTTTCGTCGAAAACATTTTTGCTTTCAGAAAATATTGTCCATATTCACAAAAACAACTAAAAGCAAATAAAAGCATTTGAAATTAAATAATATCTTTGTTTTATTGCGTTTGTATGTTACAATTTAGAGCTGATTTTCAGGTGGGGGGTCCAGTTAAAAAAACATTCCTCAAAGCCTTGTGCTTTTAACTATTGTAATCACTAAACTGGATTCGATCGAATTTCTAGAGTTTTCTTAAAATTAGTTATGGTGGGATGTAATAAATATAAAAAAATATTTCTGACATGACTTTAATAAAAAAAAGACATATTTATAATAATTTCCATCATCTATGAATAGTTTCTGAAAGTTTCATTAACATCCGACAATTATTTATATTTTTGCAAGATTTTCCAAATTAATATGTATCATACAAAAAAAAAACGTACTAAAATTGTACGTTATTTTACTAGTTCTGATGATACAAAGAGAAACTAGGTTTATGAATCAAAATTTAGAATGTTCTAAAAAGAAGGAAAAAAATTTTAAAATAATAAAAAAAATCTTTGGTCTATCCTCTTCATAACATAAACATTTAGACGATAAAATATTGTTTTCGTCAATTTTGGCGTCTTTTTCATCATGCTATGCTCTTTTTCTTAGCCATCTCATGGAATTACCTATTCTAACCACACTGAAAATCATTTGTAACAAAATACTAAAGAATATTTTTTAATTGTTTTCTGTTTATACAGCACTGTAATTTGATATTTCGAACAGCACTGTAATTTGATTTTTCGAACAGCACTGTAATTTGATATTTTGAAT